GTGAAGCAAGCCCTTTGCCTGCTGAGACATCTCCTTAGAGCTAGAATTTTCTGTCATTTTTTTTGGGGGGGTGTGCTCTATCTTAGCCTGCTTTGAGCATCTCCATACTGGAACACTGAAGACCCAGTCATGTATCACACAGAGAACGTGTAGGCTCACAGATCTGCTGTCTGTGGCATGAACAGACATTGTTTTGTGTGCTTAAAAGGTTCTGAGAATTGGAGTTGGTGGGTCTTGAGGTGTGTGTCCTCCTGAGAGCTCTGTCACTGTCTACAGTGGACCTTGTTACACTCCTGTCAGCTTATCTGGGTGGAAGTGTTCCCACCAGCTCTCAGCCTGGCTAAATGCCCTGTGACCCTGCCCTCCAGGTGGGTGCCAGCCAGTTTTATTGTTATATATTTAATTTAGTGTGTGTGTGTGTGTGTGTGTGTGTGTGTGTGTGTGTGCACATATGTGTACTCACTGTGTGCATAAGGAGGCCAGAGGTCAACTTCAGCTATCTTTCTTCAGGTGTCATCTACCTTTTTTTTTTTTTTTTTTTTTTTATTCCTTGAGATGGAGTCAGTCTCTCATTGACCCGGAACTTACCAAGAAAGCTAGGCTGTCAGACCAGTGAGCCCTAGGGGTCTGTCTATCTCCAGTGTTGGCATTGTTAACTGTGGCCCCCTTCAGGTCTGCACTTTCCATGGTTGCTACTTGGTTCCTCATGTCACAGATCATACAAAATGACCTGAGTTCATAACAGTCTCCAAAACTGTGAATCAGCATATCCTGTTCACCACAATTATCTCAAATTACCGAAGTCCATGACTTCTAACCAGCCATATGGTTTAACCTGCCTTGCAAAGTCTGGGTGATTCTAACTGGAAGCATTCAGTCAGTGGGCCTGTCCCAAGGGAACCCAGCTACACACAAATCCCCAGAAGTGTTCTGTTTCTTACAGGACACACCTGTATCAGTAGACGAGCCCTAGATGGCATGGTCTGCCCCCCATACTTGGAATTGTTGGTAGGCAAAAATAATGGTTGGTGGGAAGTGCAGGCTGGGTAGAGGTGGGGAGACAGCTGTCCTCTGCAGACTTGTGCTGGCCATGGCGAGTGGCAGGAGGCCCATTACGGCCTGCTCTCATTACACCCCTGTGTCTGCAGGATGAAAGTGTTTCAGGCCTCTTGGCCCATCCCCTTCACATGGTGCTGGACTTGGCATCTGTTTGGGTAAATATTTCAAACGGGGCTGTGGCCTGTTGTCTTGGAGCTGGTGCTTTTGCAGAAGCGCGTGTTTGCATAAATAATGAGTCTTTTTGGAAACACGGCTGTCGACTTCCCTGTGTTTGCGTGGGTAGCTGTTGAAGCAGCTTGTTGAAGGGCTATGAACTTCTGGTTCCTCCTGCTTCTCTCTCTCCCTGACCCAGGCCCTGTTCCTATTCCTCCGGTCATCTGTTTTGTTTGCTTTTTAAAAAGGAATTTGTTTTTATTTTATGTTTGTGTCCATTTGCCTGCATGTATATATGAAACTACCTGAGCGCCATTCCTGGTGCCTGCAAGGAGCTAGGAGAAAGCATGGAATCCCCCGGAATTGGGGTTACCAGATGGCTTGTGAGCTGCCATGTGAGTGCTAGGAATTGAACCCAGATCTTCTTCAAGACAATCAAGTGCTCTGAACTGCTGAGCCATCTCGACAGCCGTCTCGACAGCGACCCCTTTGAGAGAGGGAGGGTCTTACTGTGTAGCCCTGGTTGACCTGGAACTAGCTATGGATCAACTCACAGAGATCCACCTGTCTGTGCCTCCCGAGTGGTGGGATTAAAGCCGTGCACCACAGTGCATTTGGTTTTATTACTCAGTAACTGTTGTGTGGCTTTTTCTTAGGGCATTGAACAAATAAATGACTGTTTACCTTAGATAGAGCACCGGAGGCAAACCAATATACTTATTCCACCCAAGCCTAGCTTGGTGGAACAGTGAGCTTATTGGGGTCACTTACAGGAACAGGGGTGACTCAAAAGCAGATGCATCGCTGAAAAGCCCACCCTAGCATGGGTGATGGCTATGAAAACCATATCCCTGGAGCTCACTGTGCAGCTCAGTAAGGCTAAGAGGGCAGAGCCTCAACCCCCGCAGTCATTACTACTTGTAATAGCTTTACTAATCTTGTGATTTCAGGAACTTCCTGAGACTTGTAAGTTGTACCTCCCGAGTCTTAAATTGCCTCACTCCAGGAGGGAATATTTCAATCTGGCATAGTTACACAAGACAACTCTCAAAGTGAAGGCTACAAAGAAGTCAGTCACATCCTTCCTCCCGCAGGTTAAGTTTACATAAATAGAGTTTCTGGCATCCTGAAGCTCTCTTGAGCCAGCCAGTGTGTTCCTCCCACCTCTGAACAAGATAGGCTGAGTGCAGAAATTACATTACCAATATGGAAAGGCGTTAGGTCCCGATAAACTCACTGAGCTGAAAACTGCACCAACCGCAGCTAGCCTGTAGAGCATGCTGGCTGAGCCGGGCTGGAAACTGTGGTGTCAGCCATTTCTCCTCAGGATCACGGAGCTGATGGAATGCTGTCCCCAGCTGGACAGAGGATCAGACTGCTTCTTGCCATTCTGAGAGATGTCACAGTTAAAAATAAGAAGTACAGTTGTTATACGTTCAGGCTCCTTTAGCACCATCATAGAGCTGAGCAGTATGAGCTGAGCCACCTTAAGTGAATGACCCCCTGGATGCTGGAGATGGGGTTGCATGCACATTGCTGTTCTCCGAGAAGGCCAGTGATCCAAAGAAACAAACACAAAGGCTAGACAGGTGGCCCCTGCTGGTAATTCTAGCACGTAGGAAGCCAAGGCAGGAGGATTGCCTCAGATTCAAGGTCATCCTGGTGTACATGAGTTCCAGGCCAGAGAGACATAGTGAGACCCTGTCTCAATAATAATAATAATAATAATAATAATAATAATAATAATAATAATAATAATAATAAACAGAGTAAAACAAAACACAAAGGAACAGATGGTATAGTGAGTTTAAGTATTTGCTGGGGCACCTTCTGTGCAGAGCACATTCTGTAGCATCCTTGGCTCTCTTCTCCTCTACAAACTCAGAGGATTGCAGCGATTGTCACACGTGTCCAGAGTCCCTAAGAACCTGAAGCAGGAAACAGAAAACAGAACCTGACTGTTGGGACTCCCTCCACCCATCCATCCATCCATCCATCCATCCGTCCATCCATCCATCCATCCGTCCATCCATCCATCCATCCGTCCATCCATCCACTTGTAGACATGGGAATCCCTCTGCCATGCACATATAGACATGGGACTCCCTCCACCTATCCACATGTGGACAGGAAACCACTGTCCTTCTACTCTGACACCCGTGGTCCCCCAGACAGACTCCTAGATAAAGCTGGACTGTGACAGAAACAGGTCTTTCTCTTGGTTCATGCTGTCAGAGATTGGGGACAGAACTCAGTGCCTGGAAACTGAAAGGTGGTCCCGAATCATATAGTGTCAAAGACAAGGACACTGAGACCCCCTCTCCCCACCTCACCCTAATGTCAACCCACTTCTGTGTCCAGGCAGCTTATGGTGTCCTCAGAGCTTTGAGTTGCAAAAATGAAGCCTGTTATAGGCACCTCTGGAAGTTGTTCCGGAAGAATACAGAAATGTATTAAGGCTGAAAGTGCTCCAAGAATGTGGAAAGGGACTGCTGGGGACACGAAGATGCTCTCCTTAGAGGAGGTTCAGATGGCCCGCCAAACAGGCTCCCCAGTGGAGGTGCATGCGTGGGGGCAGCTGTAAGAGTTTATTCTCACGCACCGCTTTGCCTCTGAATGCAACCGCAGATCCATGAGTGTGCTGTCTCCCCTGGGCTCCCCCTCTGGGTAGACATGTCTTTGAAATAGTAACAGACTCCTGGGTGCCGTTTGGCTGTAAAGGCAAAAGAGCTTTGCCCACCGAGCAGGAAGCCCACCTGCGGAGCCAGCCGCACCTACCCGTGACACAGATCCTGAGCTATGTTTGATTTGTGTAGTGCTTCTCTCTGTGAAAGCAAAACAAAAAGCAGCAAAGAAATTGAGCACGGACACTAACATGAGTTTAGTCTCAGGTAAAACAGCGCATCGACAGTCGTCTCCCCACTCCCCAGCTTTAGCAGTTGGGGCGTTGGCAGTAAGTCATAGCTGGCAACACCACTTCTAACTCCCATCTGTGATGAATTCTTTTCCTTTAAAAGGAGAGGTTTAGAGGTGACACAGGCATTCATTCAAAGGAGAACACGCATACTTGGCAGCTACGTGCATTTTTACAGCGACCACTAACCAGCAGTGGCTTAGACTGCTGTCATATTGTCAGCTTTCGCCACACAACACTGTCACTATAAAATGCAAGTGCTTATGTTGTCTCTGAACAGCCCTTGTGATTCATGTTGCAGAAAGCAGGCATAATTCCCGAAGCGATGGGATATACTGCGTGGGGGGTGTTCAGGAGCTGGGACCCAGGACTGTCCTCCAGGTGTCACACTGCATGGGTGGGACAGTGTAGCTGCAGCCTGTTGTTTGGGGCAGTTGATGTTTTGAGTCATGTCCTTGACATTTTAGTATCGTCAAAAGCAGAGGTCATCTCGTTAGACACTGCCCAATGTGAAGAACTCAGCTTCTTATTTAAACGTCAAGGAAGATGATCTCCTTTTACTTGACAAGGAGATGCCTGGGCTGGAGCCATGGCTCAGCTGTTACAGAGCACTTGCTGCTCCCGCAGAGGACCCGAGCTCTGTTCCGGGTCCTCTGCGTCTATACCCAGTTCTGGGACTCCAGCACCCCACCCGCTTCTGGACTCTTGTGGGCAGCTGCAGGCACGCGGTGTACAAACGCATTCGGGCAAACACTCATAATACACATAGATCAGTTAGTTAATCTTTTTTAAAAGAAAAGAAGATGCTTCATGGAGCTGAAATTATCCTGATGCAGCTGGCCTGGTCCTCTGCCCTGCTCGGTCAGCAACACGGATGCCGTACACGGCAGCCAGCGGGGACAAGTCACAGACAGTCATGTCGCCTCCTCTTACCATGATTGTTCATGATCTGTCTTTGCCCGTGTTCAGTACCTCACACACCAACGAGCTTTATGCCACAAAGCCACGAGGAACAGCAATTTCTTCACATGGCAGGGTCACAGTGTCAAGAGTTAAGTGAAGTGACTCACAAAGCCTTTTTCTAGTTCTTAAGGTATAAAGTTTATCAGTTAGAGATCATCTAATTCAATATAGACAAAAAAAAAAAAAAAGATGTCGAGCTATAAATTACTCCCCGAGCCCTGCTTCAGCTGCTCCCTGGAGTGTCCTGTGACCTCTGCACCTACCAGTCACCTGGAGATGTTTGTTTCCTTTCTGCATGTTGGCCAGTTTCCCGGGTTTTCCTTGGCTGTGCGTTTTTACACCATCCCACTCTGACGGGAGAGGTTACCTTAGGATTTTGGGTCCGTTTATGTTTTTTGCAGCTCATTTTATAGTCTAGCATATTGAAGGATGTTCTGTCCAGGGGGGCTGTAGAAGGTGTGTCTGCTTTGGGCAGGAGTATTCCTGCAGTGTTAGCTCTGCTCACTTGTGATGTCCAAGTGTGTTGGTCTGCTCGCAGCCTGAGTACTGACGTTTTGGGTTGCTGCCGTTGAATTATCTGTTTCTCCCTTAAGTTTGCAAGTTGTTTTGTTGTTTTTACTGGTGCAAACACAGAGGAGCTCTGCTGTTATGGTCGTACATGTTTATGGATGTATTGGCTCTCTTACTGTAAAGTGCCTCTCTTTGACTTTAATGACTTTCCCCCTTACAGTTTATTTCTGTCTGCCACATGGGTGGCCACTCTACATTTCTCATGGTGGTTATTCTATGCTGTAACTTCCCGGCTCATTTGTGTTTTGATTCTGACACAGATCTTTGCAGCTCTCGTGTGGTTGGGTGATGCCCTTAGGGATGATCCATTCTGCTAGCCTTTGGGTTTTGATTTGCTTTCTTAAAGCCACTTACACCTAATTTATCAATACAGTAGATGTTACTTCTCTTTTGCTGACGGATATATAATCATATATAATTAGTACTTAGTATTATTAAATGTAACTAGAATGCAAAATCCCTAGTCCAATATATCTTCATTCAGTCTGCTTTCCTCAGAGCCCTCTGACTTTCTCCTCTTCTTCCTTCTTTTCCTTTCCTCCCACTTTTTATAGCCCATTGGATTTAATTGGCATTGCTTATTTGCAAATCAGTGTAGGGCCATTCACAAGGCATGAGCAGCCTTCTAAATGGCTGCACCCCCAAAGAAAAGCGCCCCCTCCCCCAGCAGCTCAACTGCACAATTCTTTTTAATGACTCTCTTTATTTCCTTTATTCTGTGTTCTTTCATCTCACACAGGTCTTTGATCTTTCTTGGAGGACATTCTGCTAGTGACAAGCATTGCTAATTTTCTGTTTGTCCCGAAATGTCCCACCCTTTACATTTCTGAAGCAAAGTTTACCTGCTGTGGAACTCCGCGTTGATAATCTCAGTCTCTCCAGCTCACCCAGTGCTCTGTCTCTCTGGATTCTAAAGGAATTCCTAATTGTACCACAGTCCCTCGTGTGACCTGAGTCACAGTTTTTGCTGCTTTTCTGACTTGTTTCTCGTCGGTAGACTGTGATGGGGTTAACGGTGACATGCAGTTAGTTTATCCTATGTAGAGCTCTTTTGAGTGCCTTAAATATGGAAATCAGAGTATGTCACACTTGCTAACAAGCCTTTGCTTATTATTTCATTTAAGAAATTGTCCTTGTTTTCAGTCTTGCGATAAGGCCCTGGCTAGACTGGCATTCGAAGTAATGCTCCAGCCTCAGCTTTCTGGGCCCTTAGACTGCAGGAGCCAGTCAGTATTCATGGCCCATCTAGGTGTCCTCTGGTTCCAGCACTGGTACGCAGGTCTGTTGGTAGTGCCTCACAGTCTCTTAGGCTGTGGTGAGTTTTCTTCATTCAATCTTTTGTTTCCTTTTTCCTCACACTGGGAAATCTTTGCCTGACCTGTTCTTTCTTCTGTCTGTTCTAATTGTCATTGTCTTAGCTGGTAAGTGTCAGGTTTGGTCCCTTCAACTCAGAGTGTCCTGTGACTCATTCACTCCCTTTGATACAGCCTCTATCTGGGAAGAAAAGCCTGTTGTGAGTCCCTCTGGCTTCTTAGGTATCCTTCACACAGAATGCGTTCAGTGACTTAAAGTCTTTCTTCCTCCAAAGTCTTAGCTTACTCAGTGATTCTTTCCTCTGAATAGCTTTTTTGTCCCCTTTTCTCTCCTCCCTTTTTGTCCCCTCCTCTCCCCCGCTCCACTCCACTTACCCCAAATTCATTTTTTAGCATCTTTCCTTGCCTAGTCTTACAGTTTCTGTACTGACTAATGCATGGCCACCGAACCGCTTGCTAGATGCTTTTCCAAGTTGTTTTTATTCCTTCATTCCCCAGGCCCATATCTGAATCCGTGTCACTGTTTAGCCAGTCATTAATCAGATTTCTTCACAGGCCTTGAGTCTCAGGGAATCTGCAGGAGGCCTACAGGTTACAGTACAGCCTAAGGCCTCAGTTTCTGATGGTTCAGCGAGGCCTGAAGGTTGCTCGATCTGAGTGACCTGCTCTTTCTCCTAGGTCTCTGCTGCAAAATAGTCTTCGCTTGATATCAGTCTCTTCTACCCCACAAATGTAAGAGTTTTTGTCGTTCTTCACATCCCCCCAAATGACTTCGAGGGAAGCTCGAAGTCAGCTCAGGACCACCCCCCCCCCAACCCAAGACAAAGTTCTCAGCACAAAGATGTATTTGCCCCAGAGGGACAGAAGGCAGGGAATAAGAGGCAAAGACAGGAGATAGAGGATCCGGGAGAAAGGGAAGCAAACAAGGTAGGGGAAGGGATATTTGTCCCAGAGGGACAAAGGACTGCCTCTGGATGGAGAGGAGACAGACATGGCCCACAGAGAAATGACAGTTTATATAGGTAAAGTGGGAAATCCGTGTTAGGATGAGGTGTTTAATTTTAATTGGGCATATTAATTAGGTGAGCCAAAATGGGCTTTTGATTGCTGGACTTTAATATTTGATAGCTGAACCTTGGTAGTCAGCCCCAGGGGGAGGGATTGGCCAAATAAGGGAACAGACCTTGGTGGCTGGCTTCAGGAATGTTTTCTAACGGTTTTTCAGCAAGGCAGAGGGGAAGGGGAAGGCCTGCGAGAGCCACATGCTCGAATGGGCCAGTGTCCCTTCACCAGATTCTTCACATTTCCCTTTACGCTCTGGACCAAGCTCATCTCTCCTACACTTGAAGCCACAGCATCAGGCCCTGAGGTTAGCCCTCAAGTTACTGTTTTGGCTAATGCCACTCTTTCTTCAAGCTACCCCCCAAGTACCCCATCTGGTCAGATCTAGGGGGAGCTCAGAATGCTAGAAGTCTAAACATGAAATGATGGGTGCCATGGGGTGCTGCAGATGAGCTTGGCTGACTGTGACACCAGCAGTGGGTAGAAGGGCTTGGTGTATGCCAAGTGGCACACACCTGTTAGCCGACTGAGACGCAGAGGGCGCAATCAGACCAGGCACCATCTGTTTCTGTCTCTCTGAGGTATAAAATAGTTGATTTTCATTGTTTTCTGTGTTTTTGTTGTTGAAGAGGGAGAGTCAGGTCATCCCATCCTCTCTGCGATGGAAGCCAGCTGCAGCATGCTGCTGCCGGCATGCCGTGTCTGCCTCAGAGCACTGCATGTCCTCCACACGGTGCGCGTTTCTTGTTATCCATTTGCAGTTGTGTGTGTAGGAGGTCTGGGTGCACATTTAGAGAGGCCTTGGTGCCTTGGCAGGTTAGGACTGCTGAGGAGTGGGGCTATCCCAGACCGGATGACAGTGCGCAGATGAGCGCCTTCAGCAGATGCAGCGATGCCCCTGGAAGAGGAGGCGCCATAGCTTGTTGGAGCTACTCCACCTTAGTGTGAATGTGAACACTGACTTTAGATTCTGGGTAGAGCCCCAGAAGCTTTTTGTTGTTGTTGGTAGTGGTTTAATTAAAAGCAAAAGCCAAAAGAACAGAAAAGCCTGTTTATTTACTTAGTGTGTAGGTGAGGGTGAGAGCGCCACGGTTGTTGAAGTCAGTGGACAGCTTGTGGCACTCAGTTTCTCCCCATCTCCTTCTGAGGGACTAGGAACTAGGTAGATCCCTGGTAGGCACACACACAGGGGAAGGGGCCAGTGATAAATAAAAATGATGTCAAATATGCAGCTTCTTCAACTTCCTGACCAGACACAAAGGCCTGTGGAGCTTTTTGTCTCCATAGCAGAGCCTTCTTTCAGCCAAGGAGTCCAGACTGGTTAGATGTGTTCAAGGTTGACCTTGATCATGTTTGCCTGAGGCTTCAGGCCTACTGTCTGCTCCCCTTTCTTCATTCAAGTTAACTGATCCAAAATAGGGGAAAGAGACATGCTCTGTCTGCTCCAAAACATTCAGAAGTCCCAAGCCCGCCTGGGGAACTTAGATTTGGGTTTCCAGATACCACCCCCACTTTATGGGGATGTCTGTCTGTCTGTCTGTCTTTCTGTCTGTCTGTCTTTCTGTCTGTCTGTCCACACTCACACTCATACCTGATTCTTTACCTTTAATAAAGCTTGTTACCTGTTGCTTCCTATTGTGTTTGAGAGCTCTCCTCACTTTTAATCCCTTAACTATTAGAGAAAATGAATAAACTAGATGAAGTGCCCTGTACAGTAACACCTCCACCATGCAGTTTCTGGGTTCTGGGATCAAACTTAGGGTGTCAGGCTTGGTGACAGGTCCCTTTACCTGCTGAGCCATCTCACTGGTACCCATCACTTTATTTGCTTAATCTCTGTCTTTATCCTTCTATCTAATATATGCACTGAGGACAGATTCGTGCCAGGCAGGGGTGTGGAGGTCTGGGAATGACTTTGGGAGCTCCCATCTTGCAGGGTCCTGGTTGAGGCAAGGACTCTCCTGTTGTCTCCACTGCTGCACACTCGGGGCTGGCTGGCTCATGAGCATGTGGGAGATTCTGTATTTGCCTTCCATCTTGCAGTAGGAGTGCTGGGATCG